ATGGGCTTATAACATGTTATAAATGATAAGTGGGGGGGGTGACCTTCCCATTGTTATTCCCATTTCCGTCCACTCAACTCGCTGCGCCACAGCCAGGCTTTGGCGGTGCAGCTCTTGGCTGCGCGCGCGGACGTGGAGCAGCTGAGCGAGCGGAAGCAGAGTCCTCTGATGATGGCGGCGGCCGCGGGGAACCTGGAGATGTGTCGGAAATTGCTGGAGGCACCTGGGACACCATATTGGGGTGTGCCCAAATATTCGTTCGCTATCTTGCTAACTCCAATGATTGATGGATCATGATGGTGTGTATCTATGGTATCTATATGGGGGGTTCTGAAGAAACATGAAGAAACTTATAACTGTGGCATTCTGTTGTAGGACCGTCTGGAAATAATGTGGTAATAATCCCTTCCCCCTAATACTAAACGCCCCCCCAAATAATAAACACTTTAGGTAGTTTTTATTATTAAGGTGGTATTTATTATGAGGGAACCACAATAATAAATTCAAAAGCTTAATAATATGTTGTTTGTTCGATTTCAAAATCGGTTCAATTTCCTTTTATAACGCAATGAAAATATTGTGAAAAATTGGATTTTGAAGCTTCCTCCTAATATTAATATTAAATTTAAAAAATCCTAATAGTGTATAAAAAAAACTAAAATTTTCACAGACCCTGATAATAAACACCTCGGGGTTGACTAGTTTTTAGTATTAGGGGGCGAAACCCACAAACTGTAGCTCTATTTTTAAATTGTTTTCTAAAAGGGATCAATTAAAAATCAAATTGGCCAACCTGAAATTTTCCAAAATTAGAGATGGACCCTAGTTTTTATTATTTGGGGGGGTTAGTAATAGGGGGAAGGGATTAGTGAGATAAAACTAGTGGGATCCCATGGGATACAAAACTAAGAATGAATGGGTATATAACTAGCTTTTAATATGAACTATCCTTTGGTTAGTATAGGAGGGCACATGGATATATATATATATATAATCCATTAGATAATTTTACGGAGAATATGGATAACAAATATAATATTTTAATAGATCAGGGATATTTTTCGTGGGCACATGGAGAGAATGGCTATGGAACTGTGGTTTTGTCAGGAATCAGTTTGAAACCGCGGAGGTGCTTGGTTTCATTTATTCCATGTTCGATTGAGACAGGGATGGAGCCAAATTTGACTACTTATTTAAGTCATTATATGTATAGAATTGTCTTTTCATGACTTGACTAAGTGACTAATTATTTGCTATACTCTAATGATTTGTTGTGAGAGAATGGACATTGAAACAAGGTGAATCAACCAGCTCAATTTCATTGCTTTCCTTCACTTTCTCATTGAATTTATGTCCAACTACACAGAGGCCAACAGGCCATTGCGATTTCGTGGGATATGGCTGCAATATGCTTGAAGCATATGTAATCTCTTAGGTGGCTTTTAGATGATATCTCCAATGAATACCATAAGAGTCGTGTTGCAGGATATAGATAGGCAACCTCAATGAACGCTTTGACGAATTTCTCGCTTTTATCACTATTCACTCAAGTCTCGGAAGTGGGTTCGGTGAGGATCGACAATGTACAATCTACAGGGCCCCCTCTATTTGCGGTCAAAAGCCATGGTTGCAACCATATCCTTTTCTCAACTAAACTGCAGTTCATCATATCTCATTGTTGGTGATACATCCCATTCCATCTCCATCAAGTAGATTAAGACTGGCTGGTTTTGTAACAATCTCAAAATTGATAGAACAGTTCAAAACATTGAAATATGAAGTAAATATCAATTATACCATCCTTGAAACACTTGTTTCCATTTTTTGGGGGGTTAGAGTTAGAGCCCTATAACTTTGATGGTTGCTCCCCACTTGCACCCCAGGCCGGTGCGTCTCCCAATGCTGTGGACGCAGAAGATGCCAAGAGCCCGTTGGTGCTCAGCGCCTCCGTGGGCCATCGAGAGATTTGCCAAGTGCTGTTGGAAGCTAAGGCTCTGGTGATGCTTGACTCATCTTGGCTCCAATTTATGGGGACCCCCTGGCTGATAGGATCTTCTCATGATCTTCATGGATAATTGATATAAACTTTATATAAATGTAATGAGAGATGGACTTTATAATATTTCTAGGGACCCTCTGGGTGATGTCATCTGATGCCTAAGGTTCTGGTTCCATTGTTCCATGGAATCTAGTGATCTATGGAATTTATAGAGACCAATGATGGGACGAGACTTCCCGAGATCTTCCCATCCGGAATAGGGGTTTCGAACATGGGAGGAATTCAAGGTAGCTTATGGAAAATGAATGAACATGGCACATTTAGATATTCAGCATGGTGATGTTAGTGATGTTCCGTATTTATATCTTAAATTAATTATCATGGTCGAAGGAAGTTTAGAAGTCAAACTTCCGACAAAGCAGAGCAGGGCAGAGGCAGAGAGAAGAGAAGATTAGAAGAGAGAAGGGTAGAAGAGAAAGAGTCAGAAGAAAGAAGATGCAG